AAGAAAGAAAGAAAGAAAGAAAGAAAGAAAGAAAGAAAGAAAGAAAGAAAGAAAGAAAGAAAGAAAAGGAACTGTCAGTAGAAAAACAAAGTACAAAAAGTACCAAAGATCCAGTTGGAATCTGTAGAGATGGCTCAGTGGTTAAGAGTATAAATTGCTGTTATACTAGTTCAGTCCCCAGCACCATGTGAGGAAGCTCACAACCACCAGTAACCTCAGCTTCAGGGGTCTGATACCCTTCTCTGGAGTACGTGATTACCTGAACAAACTGCACACATAGGGCATATATCTCAGTCTGTGTGTGTCTGTCTCTCTTTGCGTGTCTATATATGTGTGCATGTCTGTCTCTGTAGGTCTGTCTGTCTGTCTCTCTCTCTCTCATACACACATACACATATATGCCAAATCTTTAAAAATATAAAGAACAAAAAGAAAAATCTAGAATTGAGAATAGAGTGACACTTTAAAGATTACTAGATGGGCTTAATGCAGGTTAAGAAAAACAAGACTAGCCAGGTAGGGTGGCCCACGCCTTTCATCCCAACACTCTGGGAGGCAGAGGCAGGCAGCTTTCTGTGAGTTCAAGGCAAGCCTAGTCTACAAAAGCGAGTCCAGGACAGCCAGGGCTACACAGAGAAACCTTGTCTGGAAAAAAAAAGAAAAACAAGAATTACCATTCATTCTAGAAACCAATTAACACTAATTATGCAATCTGAAATACTGAAACAAAATGTCACAATTAAACAGATCATCTAAGGCAGAGTCTAAATGGATCCAAGTAAAACTTAAGTCCCCAAAGAAGACAAAAGATGAGAAAATAGTCTACAGTTTCCCAAATTTGGCTGAAGGCATATATTTAGCTTAACAGAGTGGAACTCAACCTGTGCGTTGTGATCCCTTTAGGGGGTTGCATATCAGCTATTTACATTACCATTCCTTAACTGTAGCAAAATTACAGTTATGAAGTAGCAATGGAAGTATTTTTCTGGTTGGGGTCACCACAACATGAGGAACTATATTAAAGGGTTACAGCATTGGCAAAGTAGAGAACCACTGATGTAAAGAGGCTCAAGAGAATTGGGAAAGGAACTTCCTGAGAACAGCAAGCTCCTCTAATAACATATATAGTATATATTACATATAATATATGTGTGTGTATACATATATGTATACAAATACATACACATATGTATATTTATACACACACAAATACACCCTAGGCTGAGAAGGGTCCATATTAGCCTAAGAGCAAGCATCTTACGATATTTGAAGACATTAGGTTTCACTGATTTATTGTAAATTAATAAAAAGGATACATTATTTGGGGGTCAGTGAGACGGCTCAGTAACTAAAGACACTTGCTACCAAGCCTGATGCCCTCTCTAAGTCATCCTTCAACGTGCACATAGCATACATGTGTACCCTTCACACAAATAAAAAAATCAATAAAAAATTTAGAAAACGTATTAGAAAAGTGGTATTCTACATTTATAATAACCAGGCCATATTCTTCTTCAGCCCTGTTACTTCCAACTAGTTATAAGCCCCTTGAGACACTGCAGTAGCCAGGCTCCTCCCCTCCAAGGGCCAGGTTCTACCCACAGAAAACTCTTTTTTTTTATGCCTTACCTTTTAATGGATTTTGAAAAAAGAAATGTTTATTAATTCCTTGAGACCTTTGTACAACATAGTTTGATAATATTCATCTTTTCCCCAACAACTCTTTACCTACCCCACCATTTTGTTGCCCACTTCCTGTCTTAAATCCATGACTTACAATTTATGTTGGCCAACTATTTTCGGGTATGGGGAATAGCCTGGAGTGCGTTTGGCATACCAGTGGCCGCATAATTAAAGAAAGCTGAGTCTTTTTCTCTCTTAGCATATATCAAATAGCAGTAGCTTCTGAGACAGGGGAAAGACTTCATGCCCACCTCCCCACTTCCACCATGAATTTTGTTTAGCTTAAGAAAACTCTTAACTGCCATAAGAGCAGGACCCAGCAGTAAAAGCCCAAGCTCAGGACTTGAAATCCCTGAGCTCAGGCTGGTGAGATGCCTCAGAGGTTAAGAGCACCTGCTGCTCTCCCAAATGGTGCTGAGTTCAATTCCCAGAAACCCCCCGTGGTGGCTCACCACCATCTATGAGATCTGGTGCCCTCCTCTGGCCTGCAGGTATACACGCAGGCAGAACACTATACATAATAAACAAACAAAAATCTTTTAATAAATAAATAAAAGAAATCCCTGAGCTCACCCATGCTCTGGACTTGAAATCCCACCAGTCCCCACACTGGAAAGCTCCACCCCCAGGAAATCTATGTAAATGCTTAGTTCTCTGCTGCTTATTGCCAGAGCAGAGGCAGACACTCTCCTGGGTTCTTCCTTCCCAACAAATCTCTTCTGTGAGGTTTGCTGTGCAGAGTGACTATGGTATTCCTTGGCTCCTGACTGCCAGGATACCTTTACCTTGGGAAAATCTCTCCCCTCCCCCAGCAGAGCTGTAACACTTTCACTGGAGAAGCTTTTCCCCTTACAGCTGTAACAGTTACACTAGTAAGAACAGCAGAACTGTAACACAAAGGCAACATAAGACTGAGGTGCCTGCTACAAGTCCCACCATGTCTAGGTTTCCAATTGCCTAAAGATATAACCATAAGTATTTGATAAATGTCAAGTTCACGGACTAATTCTTATCTAAACCTGAAATGATGAACATAGCTTTAGTAGAGTAGTTACAATGTGAAAGGTGCTTAACAGAAGATCCACAAGGAGAAGGATGCTTACCCACTGAAACCAAGTTCTGATAGTTCTCCAGCACCACAGTCCCGTACAAAGTCCTCTGAGAAGGATTCAGCCACTCCCATTCCTCCCAAGAAAAGTCTATTGCGACATCTTTGAATGTAACCACATCCTGAGATGACACAAATAATTTATAAATTTTTGTTACATTTTTACTATTTTGTTTGGGTAGAGGGAGGAGTTCACCTTGCCAGTCAGTTATTAAGTGAAAGAAGACACAAAAAGACTACACCTTTTATTATGGAACTAACTTATTTGAAATGTCTGAAAGCTCAAATATGTAGATAGAAAAACAAACTAAACTAGTAGCTAGCCGGGAGTGAGACAGAGATTAACTGTGAACACTTGGAAGGTGAAGATAAATTCAAGGCCAGCTTAGGCCACCTCCTCCCATCTCAAAACAAAAATAATGAGTAAGAGGATATTAAAAAAAAAAAAAAAAAGGAAAACACTCCTTTCTCCTCCCATACCCTCAAAACTTCCATGATCTCTGATGATCAAAATATGTGAGGATCTTTCTGCCTGCCTGCAGTTACAAGTCCTCTAACCTAATCCAATCCTGACACACATTCCCTGAACAGTGTCAGATATCAGAGGCTGAGGGCTGAATGTCACAAGACTTCCTTAGATTCAGATGTTCTGTGTTACAAGCTCAGTGTTATGATTAGGGACAGAGAGAGCTGAACAAAAATTCAGGTAGAGGGATACATGAGAGGGACTTTGTATGTCTGTCTAACCTGAAACCCATTTAATGCTGCTACTGAGATATCTGTTTCATGTAAAAGAAAACAAGTCTTTTAACAAGAGCCCATACTGGTTAAAAATGTTTATTCAGGGCATGGTGGTACATACTTTAAATCCTACTACTCAGGAGTAGGAGTGAGAAAGACTGCTACAAGTTTGAAGCCCAACTGGGCTTCGTAGTAAAATTCTGTCTTCCATCTAAGTACTAAATCAGGCCCAACCCTCCTTAACTTTCAGGATCCAATGATACCAGGCACGTTCAAGGTGGTTTGGCCATGAACTAGTAAGAATCTATATTATAAAGGAGTGTATATAAGGTAGCAAGATGAAGGAGTTCTGAGTGAGCTCTATGCCTCATCATAGTTATAAGTCACCTACTTGGCAGTTAAGGTTAAGGATAATGTCCTGTGTGCAAAGGATAATGTCCCAGGCCCTGGGACAGGCTAGCAATCATAATTTCCAAAGTGCTAACCATCAAGACCTTCTCATGGAGGAGAACAGACATAAACTAACCTGTGACATGGCTTTCATTAGTTCAATGGTCATTTCTTGTCTCCTCCTGGTTTCTCTCTTTGAGAACAACTGTGTCCTGAGAAGTCAGCCTAGGGGAAGAGAGGATAGTAAACTATTAATAAGACACAGACTCCTGTTAAACTTTATAATCGCCTTGTTTACCTTGGGTTAGGCAAATATTTCACCTACACTGTCTCAATAACCTTACCATCTATCTCCCAGCCCCCATCCAATGTCATCCCCCTTAACCATCCTTATCTGGGCTACCTTCCATCCATAATCTTATGAGTATTTGAATATATTTGATGTTTTTTCCATTCACACCATCCTCCCGACCTACATGGTTTCTTCTCCACACTAACCCATTGTGGTATCCCCCTTGCTCCTCTCTTCCTGACCATCTCTCTCCCGTGTTTCTCTTAACCCAAAGCTCAGGAATATTAGCCATGCCTACCCCATTTTACCCTGCCCAGGTTTTAGGCCTTTAATCAACCAATCAGGTATAATGTCTTAAGCAGGTTTACACAACAAAGATAGGTTTATACAGGCAGTAACCAGATCCTGAGGGCTAGTAATTAGGATCAAAATACAAGCATCAGACCAACCCCCAACAATGTTAAGAACCAGTGAGGATGGAGGACACCAACAAAAGTGTCTTCTAGACACAGCAGCACTGACACTCCCATGAACTCACAGAGACTGTGGCAGCATGCACAGAGCCTGCACAAATCCAATCCAAATGAGGTCCCAGAGCTGAGAGGAGACATGGTCATGAGGCCCCATCCCTATCCCAGAAGCTATCTCCAATTGCTAACCACTATCGAAGGAAACATTAGTTTTTTCTCCCAAAAAGAGTCTCACGGGGTATACATACTACACTCAAGGGCAAGCTTCATAGCAGTAGATGGCCATAAATATCATAAACTCAATGATACATATAAAATGGTCTCATAATGTTTTGCTTTGTCTAGATATTTTCTCTACCTTACTGATCTGCTGCTTATATATTATTAATGTCTCTGACTTTCTGTTTTTTTATGGGCTTTGTTTTTGTGTATATGTCTCTATATTTGTTTCTCATACTTTTTCTTTGCTTTTTTCTATTTTGTTTTATTCTGGTTTATATGTTTTATTTACCTGTTTGTATTGTTTTCTAAAGAGATAGAAAAAGAAAGCATGGCGTTGGATGGGTATGGAAGATCTAGAAGAAGATGAGGGAGAGAAAACCATGCTCAGAATGTATTTATGAAAAATTTATTTCCAATAAAATCACCTAGAGGCATAATGCTGGGCATGTCTGTTTCCAGTGAGGTTTACCTGAAGAAACAGATTCACCCTGTGGTGTCACCATCCCATGGGTTAATTTAAAAAGGGACAAAAGAGGAAAGTCAGCTATTTGTTCCTGGCTCTCTGCTTCTACCTTGAAAAGCAATGTGACAGTCTTCTCATACTTTGCCCCATACCTTCTGTGCCATGCTAGACTGTATTCAAGTTCTGAGTCTTTTATTTCATAAAGGATTTTTGTCAGAGCAATGAGAAAAGTAACTGGCACACTTGGCAATTCATGGTCACTACCAGGGTAGAGCAAATCACACTCTCTCCCATATGCTTGAAGTCCTAAATTTTTATACCCAAGCCCCCTTCCCATTACCTGGTCTCACTGTAGATAAATAGTCCTGCAAAACAGCTATTCCTTCCACTTTTATACACAAAGATGGAATTGTTCCCTTTTAAGGTTTCTTATCCATGATTTGGCAGTCTGTTTAAATTCCCACTCCTAATGCCACTAGAGACAGAGGTTACTATCTTCCTCTACCCAAAGCCCCATGGCCGTCACTTTCTTCTCACTCTGGAACAGTGGAACTTTAGGAATCAATTCTGCCACTGTATCTTCTGTCCTTAGCTCATTCATTTCTCCTCCTTCCTGGCCTAGATTGAATGGCTTCCCTTTCTCTTGACAGATCAGTCCATCTATTGCAGCTTCTCCAATGCTTAGGTCTAGGATTCTTACAGCAGCACACAGCTCTAAACATACAGATAATCTAATGCTGGGGCCTAGAGAGATGGCTGAGCAGTGAATAGCACGTACTGCTCTTGAGGATCCAATTCAGTTCCCAGCCCCCACATGGTAGGCCACTCCCAGGGGATCCAACACCCTATTCTGGCCTCCACAGGCATAACAAGTACATATGGTACATAGATATCAGGCAAAACACTCACATACATAAAATAGAAATAAATAAATATTAAAAAAAAAAAAAGAATCTAATGCCAACAAGGCATGGTAATGCACACCAGCAATCCCAACTATCAGAACTCTGGGCAGAGTACTCCCCAGGAGTCCAAGCCAGTAAAACCCTGACAAAAATTAAGATAAATAATAAAAAATAAAGGAAAAGAAAAGAAAAAAGAAAATCTCGTAGGAAGATGGAGTAAAGGTACCAGAGGATCTCAGTTCAATCCCTAGAATTCATAAAGTGAAAAGAGAGCAAAGTTGTTCTCTAACTTACCCCCACACACATGTACCATGCTGTAGTACATGTGTGCCCCACAACAAAGCTAATAGATAAAAAATTAATTTAAAATGTCAGAATATTTTTATGTTTTAACAATCTAACTCTATTAATCTTCAAAGTAGTCATCCCATACACACAGGGCCATGATTACAGCCTAAAAGTTGACAATGCAAATACTCACAGGAGTTCATATGATGCCTTATCTCATAGAATGCAGTCACAAGCACCTGAAAGAAGGCACATGACATATAAGCACACTTACCATGACCTCAGAGAGGCCTTGGGTATACACACGATCTATTTACAGACACCCCTTACTGTCTCTCACACCCATATCAGTCTCACAGCCTCTGGCCTGTTTCTTTCACATGCACAGATGCTACAACTTCAATAGCCCTATATTCCTCAAGCCTTCCAAATACCACAGTATGGTTCAGAGTATCCTCCTCCAATTTGGTCTCACACACACAACTGCTCATATTTCTCTCCCATTTCCACCCACAAGAATGTGATATTTTCTGGGCACAGTAACCCCAAATTTTGGAAGGCAGCCACAGCGTCTCAGTTAGGGCTTTATTGCTGTAAAAAGACACCATGACCACAGCAACTCTTATAAAGGAAAACATTTAATTGGGGCTGGCTTAGTTTTAGAAGTTTAGTCCATTCTTGTCATGTTGAAAAGCATGGTGTCATACAGGCAGTCATGGTGCTGGAGCTGAGAGTTCTACAACTTGATCCACAGGCAGCTGAAGGAGATGGTGTGTTACAATGGGCATAGCTTGAGCATAGGAGACCTCAAAGGCCACCCTCACAGTGACATACTTCTTCCAATAACATTACATCTATTCCAACAAGGTCACACTTCCTAATAGTGCCACTCTCTATGGGCAAGCATTCAAACACACAAATCTATGGAGGCCATTCCTACTCAAACCACTTAAAAGAGGAAGTTAATGAGTTTGAAGGAGGCTAACATGGGATAGAGAGGAGTCCATTCCAGTCTGGGCTACCTAGTGAAACATTATGTATTACTACGGGAGTAGACGTTGATGCCTTCATTATGGAAATCAGTATCTCAAAAAAATATATAGGCCTATACTACTGCAGGGCATTTCCCCAAGGAGCTCTATATCCTACTCCTGACATACTTAGACATTCAGTGATATATCACACTATTCATGACAACTGAAAAATGGGATTGGTCTAGATGTCCATCAAAAAATGAATAGAGAGAAAATACAGTATGTTTAACAATGGAATTTTTTTGTCTGTAAAGAAGCACTAATGGACGAAGAAAAAGGGCAAACAAGAGGGAGTTGGGGAATTTAGTAGAAGAGGGAGGGAAGATGACCAGTAAGTAAAATATATATGAAAATGCCACAATAGAAGCCATTATTTCATATACTAATTTAAAGACAATAAAATTTTTAATCCAAAATAAATAATAGAGAAAAAAAACATAGTGGCCTTTCACACACTGGAGAGAACACTAGTTGCTTATACATTCCAGTGTTTGTTTCACAAATATTTATACAAACCCTCCCTAATGTAATTTACATTTCAATTACTTTCTTACAAAATACTCACTGGTATTTCTCATCCCAGTCAGTCAAATATGCATGCAGTCATACTGGCCAGATACAGGCATACTCCCATCTTCCTGTGCACTGATCTCTCTCATGCATACCAACATAGTCTTTCACAGCCCAATTTCTTGTTTATACACACACACAGACACATATACACACAAGTGTGTACCATGACACTTCCCATTTAACCTCTCAAAGGAGTCTCATGCATTTGTTGACATTTTATATATTGGCACATCTGTTTCTCACTACCTAAGCTTTTTCTAAGGAGACATAAAACAAACATGTATTTGCCCCAGATAAGGGTACCAGTGACAGACAAAAGTAATGATTCCAAAAAAATCCAACTTAGTTAACCAATGGGTTTACTGAGCTTATTTACACAGCATGAGTAAAGAATTCTTACAGGAGCATGAGTAACCCCCAAACTGCTGCATCAACCCAAAGTCTCACCCTATCATGGGTTACTTCTTCATGGAAACTGCATCACAGAGTTGCCCTTGTAGCTAACCTTTCATTTCTTATATCCTCTAACATCTCCCAAGATCACCTCTATCTGGATGGAGCACAGGGTGGGAGTGTCAAATCCAGATAGATATCCTGTGAGCCTCCCTCCCTCCTATTAAAGAGTATTAACAGCTCCATCACCAATACCAGAGACCAAGCTGTCTCTGTTGTTCTTCTCAATTAGTCTCACTATGGCTACAAAGTCCTGGTACTTTCTCTCCAACACTTTGTCTTAGTCCATGTTCTATTGCTGGGAAGAGACACTGTGACCATGCCACTTTCACAAGAGAAAGCATTTAATTGCAGCTGCCTTACAGTTCTAGGAGTTTAGTCCATTATCATCATGGTTTGAAGCATAGTGACACACAGGCAGACATATATTGCTGGAGAAGTAGCTGAGAGTTCTACACCCAGAACCACAAGCAGGAGGAAGAAAGCCACTGGGCCTGGCTTGGGCTTTTGAAATCTC